AACATTTTACCTTAATTCCTATACAATGAAAAATAGCAGCTGACACATATTATACTCATGTCATTAATACCCTTTTCTGACAAGGATCTATTTCAAAACTCCTACTAAGGAACCCAACATAATAGCACAATTATTTTCATCATCTATAGGTGAGGAAACTAGTACACAAAAAAGTTGAGTGACCTGTTGAAATTCCATAGCATAGTGATTTGTAGTGTTTTGATTTTAATTTAAGAATCCTGGCTGTGGATCTCACATCTTGATCACACCACCATTCAGATTTATATTAAGCACAGATATCATTCTATTTACTAAAAGGCACACACAAGAAAGTGAAGGAGTTAAGATTTCAAGAAGAAAAATAATGGTGTCTATCATATTGATTAAAACAAAAACAAAACTCCAGATTTTTTAAGTTACCGTTCGGTAATTTGACAGAAAACTAGAGAATTTTAATGTGCTTTTTAATGGCACCGATTGAGTGTGTTCAAGGTAATGAGACTTTTTACTGTTTGAAGATTTCTATAAACAGATGTGCTGGTTTACATAGTTCCATTGTAGAGTGAGGTACAGCTGATGAGGAGAAGCAGAAGAAACAAAAGTGGAAATAATAAAAAGACAAAAATTCATCAGGATTAAAACCAGAATCCTAGGGGAAGGACCTTTTTCTGTTAGACTACATTCTGTGTGTTCAGTATAAATATGAGTCACACTGCAGAGCTCTGGGATTCATTCAGAAAGTCTAGACCGTTGAAATCTGCACTGCAAAGAGCCCCCTCTTTCTGCAGACTCTAGGGCAGAGGTGTTCAGCAGAACTCTGAGTGTTGGTGGGTAATATATATCTATGTTGTCCACACAAGACGGATTCACTTTAAATATTGAAGTGCTAGTTTTACTCAACACCATTTTATTTTAAATAACTTGAACTTCAAGTTCAATAGACAAGATGGCTAATTGCCTGCAGAATGGGGAGCTCTGGAGCAGATTCCTCCGTGCCCAGTTTGTTATCTTTTGTCATGGCAAAGTAGAGTCATGTAAACAGAGAGTGCTGTAGAAAGCACAGCGCTGTCTGACTCTTTACTGGGTTTCCGTTGAAGGCATTAGGTAGGAAACTGAAAGGATATTTTTATAGGACATGAATGCAGCAATGGTGTCTAATTTACAAAGTTATGGATGCTTTCATATATTTTATTAGAATCTTAATAATGAAGACTTGAGAGCTGAGGAGTTGGGTCAATGGAAAAGCTCTTAATGTTTGACCCTGAGTATCTAAGTTTGAATCCCCAGCACACAAGTAAAAAACTTGTGAGATGACACATGCTTATAATCCCTGTAGGAGGCTGAGACAGGAGGATCCCTAGGGTTCACTGGCTTAAAACAAACAAACAAGCAAGCAAACAGTAAGATCTAGTTCCAGTGAAAAACCCTCTTTCTAAAAGTAAAGGTGTGATCAAAAGAGGAAGCAACATGAATATTGACTTCTGTCCTCTAAATAGTCATGCACACACATGCTAACACATCAGAACACACACATAAACAACCATATACATCTACCAGGTGCACAAACAAATTTTAAAAAGACTTCAAATAGCTGTTTTTTATTTAAGTGTGTGTGTGTGTGTGTGTGTGTGTGTGTGTGTGTGTGTGTGTGTTTAAATATCCGGTATTATTTTAGGGGTGTGTGTGTGTGTGTGTGTGTGTGTGTGTGTGTGTGTGTGTGCTTATGTATCTTGGACTCCTTGGCATGCTTTTTAAATATCCAAAGTCAGTTTATGAATATTGTCTCCAGTTTTATCAGCTTTATCATTTCTGCGTCTGCTTCTCTTGGCTAATTTTTGATACAGCTGTACTCTTTCTCTGCAAGCCTAGTAAGTCTTCTCTGGGTGTAAAGGTGGTGATTTATCATGCTGCATTGCCTCAGCTTTTGCAGAATTCTTTTAAGGAAGGCTGCACTGTGCTCTGACACATAAATTGGCATCTGTTTTAACGTCTGAAAGGAGTTTTAAGCTTTGTTAGTGAGAGTTCCATGGTAGCACATAAATAGGGAAGGTCATCTCCACCAGTAAGGCTTCTATGCTGGATCCCCATATTCATATTTCAAAGACTAATACAAACTTGCCAGCTTTGCTTCAGCTCTGAGAACTGCTTGATTCTGAAAATTTTCTAGTTCTTCTAGTTATTTCTACAGATTTGTCCTGTGGCCTTATAGCATTATAACTGACATACAACAGGATCAAACTTTGGCAAAGATTAGGATGCTCATCTCTTCAAGTGTATGGAGCTTGATTTCTCTGTGTAGTGCCTTCATATGCCATGCCATACTTTGCTCTGCAAATTTAACAGCATCACTTTTTTTTAACTCTTTGATTTCTGTTTCCTGAGTTCTCAAAGAATTAAGGAGAGTCCTACCATGAACTGGGACTGGAGAAAGTCTGCAGGCAGGAGGTTGGGCACAATTCTTAAGTCTTTTCCCTCAGGAGTTCAATTTCCTTAGCTGCCTACTGTCTGTGTCTGAAAATATTTTTCGAATGTTTTTGTATATTTCTTAATATTTGTGGTGAGATAGAAATTCTTGCTACCATTGATTCTCTGTGGGGTGAAATTAAGGTGAAATAATACTTAAGTGATTTTAAATGACTTAATAACAAAACAAAATTATTTTAAAACAGGATCATTTATTCTTTAAATGTTTAAACATTTTCAGATCAAATGTTAATGTAAACTGTAAAAGATATTTATTCATGATCTAGAGGAGAAAATATATTAGTTTATAATCCAATTTATTTCCGAATTGTAATGAATACATCTAAGGAAAAATTTCTTTGCATAGCTAAGAAAAAGATCTGTTCCTATAAACCCAGTCCTTGCTATGTACACAGAATTCTAGAATCTTCGGGGAGATATGGTTTAGAAATTTCCTGCTTTTCCTTAATGATCCTATTTAAAATCTCATCAGCAACTTTTTAAAGAGTTGTATATTTTTATTTTATGTGCAGAAATACTTTTCCTCCATGTATGTATGTATGTATGTACACCATATGTGTGCCTACTACACACAGAGGCTAGAAGAGGGTATCAGAAAAGGAGTTACAGACAGTTGTGGGCTGCCCTGTGGGTTCTGGGATCTGAATCGTGTCCTCTGCCGGAACTATAAGTTCTTTAAACCAGCAAGTCATATCTCCAGCCCCTCATCAACAAGTCTCTATCTCCCAAGGAACTTACCTTAGCTTTGAATTTATCCTCATTTTCACAGTGGATGAGCTGTGACTGGGATCCTATTCCTTAGTGAGTCTACCTTCGCACTTAACATTTGACTCAGGAAGCAAGTGCAGAAAGTTCTGCAAGACAATGAAGTATGTCACAAACTTGACAATTTATCAAAATTTTATGGACTATCCTCTTATATCATTTTTATGTTATTAGACATTTTAAGTATAATTCTGTAGCACTGTTTTGATCTTCAGCATATTTTAACAAAATGTTTTAGCATAATTAACATATTCTCTAGACAGAAAATTTGCTATTGTGTTTAGTTGCCCTCATCATTTCCCTTGGCAAATGGATCTGTAGCCCTGCTGCAGCTGGGCTCTGAGTTGACATCCATGCCCCTTGTTGCCAGCAAGAGATGTGCAGAGGCCAATACCTGAGTCCATACTGATACAGGGTCAAGCTGCCACTGGAACCACACAGACGCAGAGGCCCATGCAGCCATCAGGGGCCACAGTGTTGTCCAGTCTCAAACTGCGGCCAAGGGCCTTGTCTGTGTCTGAGGCCCTACCACAGCCAGGGTATATTATTGTCACCTGGGGACATACTGGCATTTTGAGGCTGCACCCACCACTAGGATGTATGATCTGGGCAATCTGCAATGCCAAGTAGGGCCATGATAATAACCAACCATTACCAAGGACCATGTCTGGGTCTTTTGTTTTACTGCAGCCTGAGTCTATGCTGACAGCCATGGCCGGTGTTGCCACCAAAGGCCATACTGATGGCCAAGGTCTGGGCCTCCACCTGTGGCCTTCTAAGTGTCCAATGGCTGTGCTGCTTCCAGGACCATACAGACCTGAGTGCCATGTGCTTCCACCCAGGGCTGGGATGTTGTATGGGCCTGAACTGTGACCAGGGCCTTGTCTGAGTCCATGGCCCTACCACAGACAGGACCAGCAGCACTGATATCCGAGGCTCCTGTTGCCATCAAAGGTCATGTGGATGTCTAAGACCTAGGACCAACCTGGGGCCATGAGTTGGTTAAGGACCATGCTGCCATTGTGTCTATGATGATATAAATGACCCCCACTGCCAACTGGGGCCATGGTGACATTCGGGCCAAGGATGCTGCCAAGGACCAAGCCTGGGTCCATGGTCCAAACACAACTGATCTCTGTAATGTCCAAGGACTGTAGCATCACTAAAGGCACATGGACATCAGGGGCCCAAGCCACCATCTAGCTCCAGGTTAGAGCCCTAGGGTTGAGCCTCTGCTGGGGTCATGCAGATCTGAATAACCTGTGCTGCCACCCAGGGCATGGTGTTATCTGGGACCTGGGCTGCTGCCAGAGGTCATGTCTGTTAGTGGCCCTATCACAGCCACAGTCTGTGTTAATGTCTGTGGCTCCTGTTACCAACAAAAGCAGTGTGGACAGAGCTGCACAGAGTTGGCCCTGCCCCTCACTGACTGCAGCACTAGGGAGTACTGATCCTCACCACCTGCAACACCCAGGAGAGTGCTGGTGCGCTGCACCCAGTCAGAGCAGCGCAGTAGAGCTGACCCCGTTGCCTGGATGCTAGAGCACCGGGAATGTGCATAAAAGATCTCACCCCATCCTTCGTCTGCAATATGGTGGAGTGGGGGAGGGTAAGATCAACTCCCCCTCCCTTGCCCCTTGCCATCTGCGCCAGCTGGATGGAGTAGCTGGCCCTGAGGTCATAAAGATGGGAAAATTGGTACTGTGGCATCAGCACTCAGGAGAGCAAGCCCTGTGCCTCAGCTGGGCAAACAGTAGTACTGGCCCTGGGTGAAAGCACGAGAACTGGCCCGATCCCTGCTGTCTGCTACATTGGGTGAGATGGCTGGGGCAGTGCAAGAGAACTCACCCGAGTGGTGATGATGAAAAACTGGTGGGCTGACCAACCAAGCTACCACTGAGGCCCAGAACCAGGCCTATGGCGTATCCAACCCCAATATCCACCTCATCTATGAACACAAGGTTGGTAAGAGTTTAATTGTTCTATCACTCTAACCTCTTCAAAGAAAGAGAAAAGAAAAAGAAAAAAAATTAATGAAGATATTCTGGGACCTCAGTCTATGTGATTTTCTGTGGTGAAAGGGTCCTTGCAGAGATCACTAGTTAAAAGCAGGCCCCAGTCTGATGTGATTTCCTTATATGGATAAGAGACACCCTGTGGGGCAGCATTAAACCAGGAAGAAGTGAGGAAAAGTGCTCACCCAATGGTTCTGGGCAGGATGCTAACCTGCATATCAAGAGCCCTCTTTCTATTGCTAAAAAAAAATACTGCACAGAAGAGATACATTGTAAAGAAAAAATGTTTTGGTTCACAATTCTTATCCAAGGAAAAAGGCTACCTCTGCTGATGATGTAGAATCCTGAGGTGGTGCAGAACATCACATAGAGATGTGGGAACTGTACCTGACTCTTAGCCAAACTGGCTTTTGTTGAAGACCCACTCCTCAGACACACCATTAAACAATAACCCATTCAGCATACGCATGAATGAACTCATTTATAAAATCAGAGCTCAGATCAATTCATCAAAGTCCCACTTACCCCATTTCTTAACTTCTAACTATTAACTTATGAAGATTAAATTCCAGCCTGTGTTTTAGAGAAAGCAGACCACACTCACACCACAGCAGTTGGGGAGACAGGATCTAAAGGAGACAGCCAGACTAGTCATTTTTGTTTTAAGCTGGTGTGTCCAGTTCACGTAAGCACCTCAGTGAAGTGGGGCAGGTAGAAACTAATCAACATTTATAAGGAAAGAACTTTTCCACTACAGAGCCATTTTCTTATGGTGTCTCATTTAATCTTTATTCAACATTGCCAGCAACTTTCATCATCCATTGAAGAGGCAAAGGGGACATCCAGGACACCATTTATAACTACTGCAGGGCCATAGAATTCCTAAGGAACTCAGGTGAAGTGCAAAATTAAATGTTCTGTTCTTTTTAGGAAAGGTGTTAGTTTCGCCTTTAAAATAAAAATACCAAGATGAATAAAACTAATGTATTTTTGCCTCTTTCTGATGTCAAATACAACTGGTTTTAATTTTTACCATTTTTCTTTATTTTTAAGTCAACATATAAGTAATAGGTTTCATTATAATAATTCCATGCAAACCTGTCATTATAACTTTTTCTATTTATCACCATTCTAACTCTTTTCCCCCATCTTTTGGTGACTTTCTTCTTCCCTAATAGGCCTACCTTCTGCTTTAATGTCACATGTAACTCACTTTACTACTGCCTCCAGCTAATGACCTTTCCATCTCCTTTCATGACACCCCTTCTAGTTCCATGATATACATATGGACACACACACTCAAATCTAGAGTTTTCATGTGATAGAAAACATGTAGTATTTTCCTTTCTGAATCTGATTCATTTCACTTAAATATGATGATCTCTAATTCCATGCATTTTCCTGAAAAAATGATATCATTTTTCTTGTTGGCTGAATAAAACTGTATTGTGGCCAGTCAATGGTGGTCTATGACATTAATCCCATCACTTGGAAGGCAGAGGCAGGCAGATCTCTGTAAGTTCGGAGGCCAGCATGGTCTAGGATAGTTAGGACTGTTACACTGAGAAACCTATGTTTAAAAAAAACTCTGCATTGTGTGTATGTAGTACATTTACCTGATGATGGATATCTAATGCAGGCCTGATCTACTTCTTTTCTATTGTGAACAGTAAACAAGGATGTACATATATCTCATATATTCTAAATAAATAAATGTGTCTATGGACACGTGTCCAAGAGTGATAAGTAGAAGTTCTGTTGCTAATTTTTATGTTTGTTTTTGCTCCATATTTTTTTGATTTTTGTTTGTGTGTGAAACTTCCCTACTGATTTCCATAATGACTGTACCAATACATTTCCATAATGACTGTACCAATACATATCTATGTTAACAGTGTATAAGGGCTCATCTTTTTCATTTTCATATACTCTCATTTCTCATTGTGTGTGTGTGTGAGAGAGAGAGAGAGAGAGAGAGAGAGAGAGAGATTTCCAATGGCATTAGCATACTTTTCAGACAGTCTTTTTCTGTGCTAATATTTCAAAGTGCTTTTTCTGTGCTTCCTCAAACTGTTTCAGAGCTAAGGTTTTATGTCCACTTTGAAATGTGCAGCATTAGGGAGATGCTTCTAGTTTCCTTCTTCTGTATTTGAATTGAGCTTTCTCAACAATATGTATTGAAGACCCTTTTTCAAAGTGTTTTTAAACCTTTTGCTGAAAATTAGGGCCTCTATAGCTGTGTGTATTTAATTCATTGGTTTATTGTTCTATGTGCCAGTACAATGCTGTCTTTGTCACCTTGGCTGTGTAAAGTAATCTGATACTAGGGGTACTAGTCAGGTCTCTCTAGAGAAACAGAACAGATAGGATGAACTCATATATGTTAAACGGGGATTTACTAGAGTGGCTTACAGGTTGCAGTCTGGCTACTCAACAATGGCTGTCTACCAAGGGAAAGACAAAGAATCTGATAATTGTTCAGTCCATGAGACTGAATGTCTCTGTTGGTCTTCAGTATCCATTGAAATCTTGAAAAGGTAGCCATTGATATCAGTGAAAGAATGCCTCAACATCAGGATATATGAACTTGTCAGCAAAGCTGAGGGCAAGCAGGAAAAAAAAAACACCTCCCTTTTTCCATGTCCTTTTATGTGAGCTGCCACAAGAAGATATGGCTCAGATCTAGGGGGTATTCCCATCTTAAAGGATCTGGTAAAAAAAAAAATCCCTCATAAATGTACCCAACAACTTGGGTTTTAGCTGATTACAAATGTGGTCAAATTGACAGCCAAGATTATCCATCACAAATCCACCCTTTCTCAATTTGACACTCATATCTCCTTGTGTAATGATTAATTTCCAAATGGAAACAATAACAAAGTCCTAACCATGCCCCAAATAACTATCCTATGTACATTGAAAAGCTCAACTCTACCATATACAAGAATAAATTATGCAATTTATTATAGGTGTGTCTCATGAACACAATAACCATTGATATCATTTCAATTGATGTCACATTGCATGATTAAAAACTTACAAGAAAGAAAATACAACTATCTGCTTAATATATATGAGCACACCCATTACTAACAAAAATTGACAGAAACATCCACATGGATTATAAGCTCCAATTTTGCAAATGATCATGTAGCCTGAACTGATATTGGCCACACCTTCTCATGGTGGCCTACATAAACACACATGGAAAAAAGAAGCTTTTGCTTTTTGCCTGCTTGCCCTGACTTTCACTGGTAATTTCTTCTATCCTGTGGCTGAGGTCCTTCACTGGTATCAGAGCCTGCTTGTTCAGGATTCCAACACAAACTGAAGACCATCCAAGGCATCCAGCCTCATAGATGAAACAACTATGAGATTTCAGGCATTCATGTCAAGAGACAGTTGATGTTGGACTACCCAGACCAAAGCCTGAAGTCACTCTAATAGTTTCCCCTAGGAAACCCTAAATGATACTGATTGAGATAGCAGGAGTGAGGGGTTCTAGAGAAAGCCAGTAAGCAGCATTTCTCCATAGATATACATCAGCTTTCGCCTCCAGATTCCTGCCCTGCTGGAGTTCCTGCCCCTGCTTTCTTAGATGATAAACTGTGATATGGGAGTATAAGAAAAATAAACCTTCTCCTCCAGAAGATGCTTTTAGTCATGGTGTTTTATTACAGCAATAGAAACCCTAACTAAAACACCAGATGTGGTGATACCTTCAGAATTATTCTTTTCTTCACAAGACTTCAGGAAAATGTACAGAATTGGAAATTATTATATTGAGGTTAAAGCCCAGTTCAGAAAAACAAATGCCACAAGTTTTCTTTTATATATTGATCATACCTCCTAATTTTTATACATGTGTGTATATGTGGGAGTGAATTTGTTTCCTTTTTATTGTTTTTTATTGTTTTCATTGAGCTATATACTTTTCTATGCTACTTTCCTTCCAACCTCTTCCATGATCCCCATGCTCCCAGTTTACTCAGGAGATCTTGTCGCTTTCTACTTCTATGGGAGTGAATTTGGATAGAAGTCAGAAAACTAGGAAGAGGTTTATGTAAAGTAGTCTATGTGCTCAGAAGTCTCAATACAGTGGAGGGAGTGGTTTCTGCAACATTTTGATTGACTTTCATCTCCCACTGTGGAAGCTCCATACAGCAGTGACACCTGCCCCACTCCTATCATCATGTTCAGTGTTGAGAGTGAGGCCTGTTCCTTCCAAACCCTCTATAATTAGAGGATGACTTCAGAATAGTCTTCAGTGACTACCTCCATGATGCACAAAGCAGTGCTAAGAAGACCAATTCTACTAAAGTCTTTGACAGTCAAATTGACTTTCTGAAGGAGTTTTCTCTCCCAGGACTTATTAATTAAGGTAACAAAGTACTGTATCAGAGTTGATTAACTATAACAACTTTGAATTGCCTCAAGCAAATAACATTGGGATTCAGGGTATAAATTTCTATGCTCCCAGGATGAATGTCTCCAAGAGATAAAGCCTGACCTGTTAGCTGTAGCCACATGTCCTCAGATCCACAGGCCTGAACTGAAAGACTGATGCCTCAAGGCAATGTTTGCAAGTTTATAAAAACGTTAATGGGAAGGCTCAAAAATATTTGCTCTCAGAAACATATTAGCAATTTGTTTAGTAAGGCTGGAATCAGAGAAAATACTTACTCAACTTACTTGGAATTATTGTTTATTTTAATTTTTTCTCTCTATTTTTGAGAGTTTTCAGCTCATAATAGAATTAGCCTATTCCCACCAGGGCATGATTCTCTGTAGAATGTATGACGATGACAGATTAATATTGAGTTTCTCCAACATTATTTTTTAAACAAGCATCTAAGATTAGATTGAAGATAGCTGAAGAATGTACCATCTTCTATTTAGGTCTCAAACAACAAAGAAAAGAAACAGAAAAAAGAACTCCACAGTTTCAACACAAGGATAGAGAGTCATTATATATCTGTGGGAGTGGCTAGACTCACAATGTGAGGTCCTTTCCTGATGGCTTCTAAAGTGGGAGAGAGAGAAGATATTTAACCATTATTCAATTTTAAGGTTAAAACAGTAGTAGATCTGTCTCTCTTTTAAGGTTGTAAAAGTGTGCTGGCTATACTTTTTATATCAACTTGATGCAAGCTAGGGCCAACTTGGAATAAGAATCTTAATTAAAAATATGCTCCTACAAAAAAACTGGCCTAGAAGCATACCTCTGATGCATTTCCTTAATTAGTAATCAATATGGAATGGCCCAGCCAATGGTAGGTAGCTACCCCTTGGCAGCGGGTCCTGAGGTATATAAAAAAAGCAGGCTGAGCAGCACTAGGGAGCAAGCCTGTAGGGAATACTCCTGTATGATTTCTGCTTCATTGTTGACTTCAGGTTCCCACCTGACATTCCTGCTCTGAAGGAAGTTTACAAGGTAGATTATAATGGGGAAGCATAAGGGAAACAAATCTTTCTCTCCCCAATTTTCCTTGGGCATGGTGTTTAATCACAGCAATAGAAACCGTAACTATGATATTAGTTGGTGCCAGGTTATAGGGTGATGTCATAATAGGCCTGACCATGTTGCTGGAGGGAGGATTATAGATAGACTTTTGCGGGGCGCCATCCTGTCCAGCAGGAATGAACCCCACCAAAAACGAGAATTCCTTCTCTGGTCACATCTTTATTTGGAGCATTCCCTTGAGGAAAATTGGGGGAAGGGACGATAGAGCAGGGACGAGAGAAAGCTTAGAGAGAGAGCGTTGGGCCCCGAGGCAGCTGCTTTTAAACGGTGGAGCGGCTTGAACGCTGTCCTGATTGGTTAATGCCATTCTGCTGGTCTGAGCATGTGCAGGCAAGGGTGCAGGCAGGGTTGCTCAGCCCCACGTGGCTACCTCCAAACTGCAGGACCACCTGTGCCTCCAGGTGGCTCCCAACATCTCCCCCTAATTATTGTCTTTAAGAGCAATAAGGCAAAACTATTTTCCAATCTGGTCCCCACCTAGACGCAGCATGCCAAGGATATCTCTGCTCCCACCCATTCCTAAGGAAGGAAAAGGCAAAGTAGAGTAAGAGATAAGAGGTTGCACAGGGTGTTGCTCAAGTCGATGGTGTGAAACAGCTGCTCTTGGCACCGCCCAGAAGGTCATCTCTGCTGCCTCCGCACGAATCTTCCACAGCAGGACACTCAGCATCCACTGGGTCATCTTCTTTATCTCTCTGGTAGGTCTAGCTGGCATCCAGATATATGTCAGCATTCCTAGAAAAACATAAACAAAACTCTCCTCCCAAATTAACATTTAAGAGTATTAAAAACTCTCAGTGTAAAAATTCAGCACAATCAGTACTGGAAGTAGGCTGGTTTTGAACTTAGAGACTTGCATGTCTCCGTTTCAAAGAGCAAATCTTGTTTGCCTGTACCAGCAAAATTTTGAATTAAAATTAAGTGTAAAGAATGCAAGAGAAATCCTTTCTCTGGGGGAAGCTGTCACTGGTAATGTAGTCCCCCTCTATTGTTTAAAAACCAAAGCAGTTGTCACTGGGAATTGAACTCATGACCTTTGGAAGAGCAGTCAGTGCTCTTAACCTCTGAGCCATCTCTCCAGCTCCCCCATTCAGATGGAAAAAACCTCTAGGTAGCATTTTTTATTTCACCCGTTGCCAGGGGCAATAGGTAATGATAACCAGGTTGACGCGCCTTTATTATGATAATTAGGACCAGTTCTTTGAGGGAGAATGGACGTGGATCATCTGGCTACTTCCTGCTGACAAAGGGACGTTGTTTGGGGGATAAATGTTTTTATCTGACTGAATTTTTGGCGACAAATGTTTTTATCTGACTAAATTCTTAGCGACCTTGGCTGAGGGCGGCAGCAGCAGCGGACGGTGGCGGCTGCCACAGCTCCGCCTCTGAAGCCCATTATGGCGCGCTCCGCATGGCCCAAAGGCATGGCTCCGCCCCGGGCCGTGCGCGCTCGCCGTTTATCCCGTAACTGCAAACTGTAACTCAGCCTCACCTCAGGCAATGAATTCGCACCGCCAAGCTCCGGCGAGGGGGGCATCCGCCCACCCGTGGGGCCCGCCCACCCGTGGAGGGCCCGGTCTGCCCGCGCGCGGAGCCCCGTTCTCTGGGAACTCATCTCCCCGCTCAGGGAGGGCCCGGCCATGTTGCTATGGAAACACGGCTTTTCGCAGAGCCTGTGCTGGGATTAAAGGCGTGCGCCACCACCGCCGGCTACTTCCTCAAACAAAGTTCAAGTTTTCTGTACCTGAGAGCCAAAGACTGAGCTCTCTTATCAAAATTAGGCGAAAATCACCTCCAAAAGCTCTGTGGCTCTTTAAGAATAGGGAAGGCAGTCTTAGAACACGATCAAGCCCGCCTCCCTACGAGACTGTTGCCCCGAGTCTCTTATCAGCGAGTACGCACGGAGGAAGCCGCGGATCTCCCAACCGTAAACCTCGCCCTTTTTGCTGTTGTTTTTTCCTCCTGCACTGAACTTAAGGGATTTTTCTTCCCCGTTGCTTTCTGTACCTTCTTTCAGATACCTTAACTTTGATATTTTTTTTTTTTGTATTTTCTTTTCTATTTAGGCCTATCCTTTGAAATTCCTTTTTACATTTCTTTTCCTCCCCTTTCTGGGGATTTCAACCGACGTCACTCACCGCTCCATGTTCTCAGAGTTCTGAAATTCAAGGCTCTCTGTGCTGGTGTCTGATCTTGGGCTTTCAGCGCGTTGTTGGGCGCTTCCTTCTCAGGGTCCCCCGGCGTAGTTGTCAGGGTCCCTCAGCGTCCCGGAGTTTCGAGCACCAGTTGCGGGGCGCCATCCTGTCCAGCAGGAATGAACCCCACCAAAAACGAGAATTCCTTCTCTGGTCACATCTTTATTTGGAGCATTCCCTTGAGGAAAATTGGGGGAAGGGACGATAGAGCAGGGACGAGAGAAAGCTTAGAGAGAGAGCGTTGGGCCCCGAGGCAGCTGCTTTTAAACGGTGGAGCGGCTTGAACGCTGTCCTGATTGGTTAATGCCATTCTGCTGGTCTGAGCATGTGCAGGCAAGGGTGCAGGCAGGGTTGCTCAGCCCCACGTGGCTACCTCCAAACTGCAGGACCACCTGTGCCTCCAGGTGGCTCCCAACAGACTTTGGAACTCTGAATTATATTACACAAAAAGTATTAATGAGGTGCTGTGAGATCTTGGAAGATAATTCTGTGGGCAGATCAGATTTTGAAGGACTTGGCTTCTAAGATTCAAAGAAAAGTTCGAGGATCCCTCAAAGGCTCTACAGGGCTGTTTGTGCGGTTTCTTTTTGCTAAGAATCTATGATGTCCAATCAGCTGGAGGTGAATGAAGAATTCATTGGGCAAAATCTTCTGAAAAGTGTTCCTCAAGGTCATCACACAGAAGCTATGATCCATGTGGGAGGAGGCTGTACCTTTTGCTGGCAGCCAAACTTCTCAATCTTAGTCTTCTAGGGAGTACTGCTTTTAAAACCATGAAGAAGTCATGACACTAAGCTACTAGGAAAAGTCATGGGTGAATTGCTGCCTCAGCTAAAGCAGAACCCCCAGGATTGAAGGGGTCATGAAAAAAAAGGTGAAACTTACCACCTTGTGTCAAGAGTCAGAGTCCAAAAAAATAAAATAAAATAAAAACAGAAGACGCTATTGGTGAAAACAGATATCACTTGCATCAGGAGATTTCAGCATTTTGAGGATGCCAGCATTCTACAATGACCACCAAGGACAAAAGCAGCTGTGAAGTATAGCTGTACTGAGCCTACCTGACAAGCCCATGTGTGCTATGTACAGAAAAGATGGAGAAGTGAGAATGCACAAGCCTTTGGGATCCCAGAGGATGTCACGTGAATCCCAGATGCCTAACACTGGTTCTCTTCAGTGCTGAAATTGAATTTTGTTTTGAGTTGATTGGGACTATGTCCTGTTCTTTCCTCTCAGACTAAGAAAATATCTAACAACTTTATTTTTGTAGGAATGATAGGTATAAAACTTTGGATGTTTTAGAAGTACTTGGAGGCTTAGAGAAATTATAGCTTCTTGATGATACTATTCTGCAAATTCACTGTCATGGATTTTGGAAGGAATTTATGTAATTACATATTTAAATTGTGTATTATTAGGCTTTTAAAAGTGATAGACTGGTTTATTTGTAACCAGTGCTGGAATTTTCTCATTCCTTTTTGCTTTCATTTCCATCTGATAATACCAAAAAGGCCAGCAAGGCGCACGTTAGACACCATAACTTTATTCCTAACATCTGAATATTTTTAAAGCTCCTATTTCTGTGTCTGTATTGATATTTTCTTTTTTTCTTTTTTTCAGTTACTCAACTTTAGTATTCTAATATTTTCATTGAAAATTTCCACCTCCTACCTTCCTCCCACTTCCCTCCCCTCCCCATATTGATATTTTCAAATGTATCTTCCAATTCATGATTTCTTTTAAAAAATTTAATTAATTCTTTGAGAATTGGATATAATGTGTTTTGATTATATTCACTGCTTCTTCTCTAACATCACTAAAATCCACGCTCACTTCCTGTAAACCTAACTTGATGTGGGATTTCTCTCTGTATGCTGTGAATATCATTGGTTAATAAAGGGACTCTTTGGACCTATAGCAGAGCTAAAGGGGAACAGAGCTAGGCGGGGAAAACTAAACTGAATGCTGGGGGAAGAAGGCCAAGTCAAGGAGAAGCTATGTAGCCCTGCCAGAGACAGATGGAACAGCCACATGGTGATACACAGATTAATAGAAATGGGTTAAATAATATGTGAGAATTAGCTAATGAAAAGCTAGAGCTAATGGGACAAGCAGTTTCTGTGTGATTATTTCAGGACTGAACAGTCAGAAACCAACAAGCGGCCTCCCTCTAACAAACTGGCACAGCAACGTGATGGACTAAATCCATGTAAAAGCTGAGAAGGCATGGAAAGGAATTCTAGATACAAAAAAAGCAATGTTTAGCCACATTTATTTTACTAAATTTGCTTTGCTTGCTGGCAGCATGCTGTGGCTCCTTTAAGAGGGGTTTTCCTGATTCAGCAGGAGCAGGGAGAAAGCTGCGCAGTTTTGAAAATGCCAGCTTTGTGGGCTGTGCTGCCAGCACAAACTCTGACTCTTTCTGGAGGT